AAAAAAAAAAAAAGAGAGAGAACAGACACATACACCCAGTGGCAATTGTATTTGTGAAAGTGTGATCACTGTGATGTCATCCAACCACAGTTAGGTTGACAAGGGAAGAGATGCTATTTGATTTTAAGTTGATTGGAATTTTCCATAGGACCAAGGGCAAGACATAAAGAGTTTCTGAGAGATAAAGGGTTTTCTAAGTCAGTTATGGACTGAGTTATCAAGGAAATCAGGGACCAAACTCAAGTCCTGTTCAACCTGCAATAGTCAACAAGTGCTAGAGACCTATTTGGAATGTTGGATGGGATCAAAGCCTAAGCAGTGGCCTCAATGACTTAACTGGGATGAATATTGGTACCGTACAACACCAATTACATTTACAATAGCATAATCAAAGTAACCCTTTAATGATTGACATTCCTTTCTTAGAAACTTGCGTTTGACATTTTTTTGTATTTAGGTGTATGTTTTGTTTAACACACCTATGATCTTTTGTTGATAATTATGAATGTCACTAATTTTGAGCAATTTTCATCATTTTTTAGAACTTATATGTATACAGTTTACATTATATAAACTATATAAAAAATTTCAAAATAGCAGCTATCCTGTTATAAACCATCTCGCTATAGCATTTTCGGGGCTGGCTACTATGTGCCGCTATCCAGGGTTTAAAATGTTGGATGTTATAAACATATACAATAATGATATTCAGAATTGTTTTTCTATTCCTTGGACTATAGAATAACTTGTCCAAAATGCCCCAATTTATAAGCAATATCTAGAGTGGTAAGCTTCAAAATTAAGGTTATGTTTTCATATCTATATTCTGTACTATACACATGCAATTGAAACTTGACTTGAAAAAAATAATATCTATAGAAGTTAAACCTTCAGCGAGCAAAATGACATGCAGAGGTTATCAAGACGTCCTGAAAAAATGAATTCCTTTGCAGCTCCAGCAACAGTACTTGGTTGCGTATCGCAAGCTTGCAATTCAAAATCACAAATGTCATCTGGTTCACACCCAAGCTTACTTGCAATCAACTGGTGAAAAGAAGACAATCACCAACAATTAGACTCGTAATCATCATGAATACATCCCAAGACCCGAAATAAAAAAGTTACTAGTTACATCTCTTTGTGACAGGTGTCAACAACACAATCCCAGAAAGGAAATGCAACTGAAATGAAAATACCAAGGATGCATTATGAGTTTCAAAGTCTGTTATTAACCTGTAGAAGAAGAGAGTGGTGTTTCGTATTGCTGGCGCCTGTTTTATCAGCTGCTTTCTTTCCATCAGTCTGATTTGCACTTTCAACCGTACCATTTTCAGCGGACACTTTATTGAGCTCACCCTGCAACAGAAACGTAAATGAATGTGTAAAAGCTAGATGAAAATAATTAAAAATGAACACCATGAATCCGAACAAGCACTGTTTGTGAAGGCTCTACTTATTTCTTTTAATTAACTACATGAGTCTCAATGTATAACTGTCCAAAATCGATTGCATCAAATATTTTAAAACACAATATTAACTAACTTACCACCGCTGCCTACTACCACTGTTTCCTTTAAGATAATAATAATTAATTATGACAAAAATGATATGGTAATAAATTTAACATTATTTTTTTTTGTATTGTTCTTTATTTACCAAACAATGTACAGAACAAATAGTTGCCCAGTAACTTGAACAATTGTCCTGTGTTGTTCTCCTTGTCTTATACTTTAATATGTATCAAACACACCCTATGTGACTATGTTTCTAACCATGTGCAATCACTAAAAGAATAACTCAGGTCACCTAGAATTAAAAACAAATCAAGGACTTGATACAATAAACCAGGCCATCTCAATAACAATTATGTCCATAGAATAATCCGTAAAATGCCAAAAAGCACAAAGTAACAAGCTTCCTGCGACTACCTTCAGCGCTGTTGCCAAAATGGGAAGAAGATGAGTCTCATTGTTAAATTTGAATCCATCGGTACTAACAGTCCTGTACACAATGAACCAAAGGAAGAACATGATAAGCTGAAAACAGTGACCAAGCAAACAAAGAACAGAGGCAATGCATCTCAACAACAGCACAGAACTTGTCCAGGTGAATTGCCAAAGTCGGGATCCGCATTATCGGTTCCTCAATTCGAACAAGGCGGTGCAAGTACGAATTCCCTTCCCGCACAATGACTCTCCCCGCCACAGTCAAGTCCCGATCGAACCATGTGTGCCACAAACCACCTCCATAGGTTTGGACACCAACCTCCAAAATTCCGGCCTTAACCACCTGGACAAACAAAACACCTCACTAATTAAACACGTATAATGAGTTTTTTTTTTTTTTTTTTTTGGTTCATGGACATAGTGCAAAAAGTGTCTCGAAGCTAACAATTAAAGACTAATCTACACTTGCAGGATTCAACTTCCATTAGCAAACATTATTTTAACACAATTGAACCTGCATGCGGCAAATGGATGGATCACATAATTTTTTTATAGATCATAATAGATCAAATAAAAATAATTTATTAATCCATTTAGATCTATTAAAAATTCATGAAAAAATTCAATCAATTTAAAGTTAAAAAACATATCTAATCCATCAATTAACAACTTTTTCATGAATGGATGATATCCAATCCATCCATTAAAGTAATGTTTAAAAAATAAATAAAATTTTTTTAAAATATTTTACTTTTAGGTCCAGATAGTCTGTTAAAATCTCAATCCAATAAACATAAATACTTAATTCAATGGATAGATTAAATGGACTCATTTACAACCACCAGAGCAAAAGTTTTTTTTTTTTTT